GGAATATTTTTTTTTCCCTTTAAAAAAAATGTAAAATTTTTTTTTTTTTTTTTTTTTTTTTTTTTGAATAATTCAATATCAAACACTGTGTACAGTGAATTTTGGTTAAGAACAAAAGAATTCAACGATTAGATTATTAGATTAACAAGGATTTTTTTATGTTAAGCCGAGCGTAGCAAAATGTCTACTGACAGTCGCTCAACGCAATACCATGGAGACTGTCAAGATGTGTTTGACAGGTTGTTTTCGAAGATGATCAGTCGATCAATGATATTTATTCAGTTAATGGAAAAAAATAACAGTAAAGATAATAACATACTATTTTGAACATACCGGTAGGTAATTAAAGACCACTTTAGGAAACAAGTTTTTCATGTTCTATAGTAGCTTTGGTCTTCTTAATCAGAAAAATAATTATAATGATAAATGATTGTTTATCCAGGGCCAGTGAAAAGTGGTGTTTAATTGGATCTGTTATTTAATACAACCACATTTCAGCATGTAATACACATTGACCACTTCTTTCTACCTTAAAATAAAGGCTACAGTTCAATAGAATTGGGGAAAAATCTATGATTCTGACAAAATTGATGTGGGAGGCAGTTGATAGTCTAATCATTGTAAAGATATAGTGTTGCCTCATTGATGATAATCTGTGACAATGTTGGGTTGTTGAACCTTGAAGATGACTGAGCAGACTCAGGAGTATAAATGGGTACCTGGTAGGATGTGAGTCTTCTACTGTTGAATGATTTGAGTAAATCCCCTGGGAGAGGTTTTTATAGGAATGCGCATGTCTATTGAATTGCTATTGTTGTGGACAGACAAGAGAAGTTGGTACCGGGTAGCTCAGACACAGAATGACCCTCAGAGCAGAAAAACAAGTTTTTACTGTCCAAGCTAGTCTACACCTCAAGTGCATTGAGACTTCGGTATAATCCAACTACTGTATATTACATTATAATAATGAGAAGAGATCTATAAGAAATGACTATTGACAATATTGTTATTATAATTATTAGGAATGATGTTTTTTACCTACCTGATGTGTTATCATTACTGAATGCTCTGTACATTCCCAAATACTTGTGGGGAAAAATTTCACAAGTGATTGAGGTGGGGTTCAAAGCCACAACCTCCAGATAACCAACTTGGTCTTGACCAGTAGACCACTGAGCTTACGCATACTGCAATGCTATCCAGATGGTGTTTGCTTCGGGAGAATTTAATAGCAATGTTTGGCCTACCATTATTGTTGTTATAAATTTTTATTATTATCGTTTTGTCACGTTCACACTTGCAACTCGGGGTAAACACGTCAGAGTGTTCGCAGCCAGTGGTTTGACAGTCAGCGCAAAAGATGGTGATTGAAAAGAGAAATTCCTGTAAGGAAGCACGATATGTGCGACCACAACACCAAAGGACCTGAAAAATTGATTTGCTTGCATTCGCAGTCCTGGATTAACTAGCAATGCTTTCTGATTGCCAATTTCTTCACATAGAAAAGGTCATGTCTGAAGAAGGGTCATGTCTGGTGGCTCAACCCTGGCTAGCCACCTTGATACACCCCATGTAAGTTCACACTCTGAAATGTGTGACATGACTTGCACCTAATTCAAGTACAAAAACATTACCTTAATAACATTTTTTTCGCATTGCCACAACACCATCGTCGTTGTGGTTTACACAGAGGATTACGGAGGTGTTGTGATAATATTAAAAGCTACTGAGAAAATTTCTTCATTGAGTATCAAAGTAACATTTTTTACACTTTGGTTTACAATATGCTATGAGTCATATACTAACCTGTAAGCTGCTGTTATTAATATTTGTAATTTTTTTTCGCCTTAATTGTTTCTTAGTAACCTGCAAACTCTTATTATTATTTGTGTTTTTATATTCACCTCAATTGTTTCTCGTTTTCCAGAGAGAACTGTTTATGGAATAAGTTGCAAGATCTAGAAATTGACTCAAGTGAATTTGAAATCCTCTTCAGTAAGAAAGTGTTAACAAAAAAGAAGGCATTATCAGAGACCTATGAGACAAAACGAAAGACAAAGAAAGTAAGTTAATCTCCTACTGTTATTTGCTTTTGTGAGAATATTCTTATCTTATGAGTCTATAAAAATTATTGCAGCGTTTGACATTCAGGCGTTAAATTCTGAGGTCAAGGGTTTGAACCTCTGTGGAGCATTTTGCTTGTGTTTGTGACCAAGGCCTATACCTCCTACATTTGTCTCTCTCCATCCAAAAGTATAATTGCGTCCTGGTAGGATGACGCGGCATTGAATGTATTAGTTTGTGCACAATGTAAGGAATTGGAGAATGTTGCCGGGAAAATCCGGGAACTGATAATGAGAATCAAATTTTTGAATAATTTTAAAATGGGGTTAAAGGTGGCAAAAAGGGTGGTTACACCCCTTTTTCAACAGGCTTCCGGAGCCTGGCTTTTAAGAGCACGATTCAGGAAGAGCAGGGGGTTGTTTCCCAGTGTACTGCCCAATTCACTATAATGGGGACCCCACAGGAACTGAGTCTTCAGACTTTCTTTCGTTAGCTCATATTGGTGTATTTTAAACCGAAGAAACAATTCAGTTCTAACTTATTAATATTCCAGCCAGTCAAAATAAGGTTGTTGTTTTTGTCTAATTTTTAATTGTAAAGTAGTGACTCAAATACAGTTACTTGTTACTTGTTTTGTTAGCTGTCCTCTGTCTTGAGGATATCAGGCAATCATTGATTAGTTGGCATATACACTGCTTTTTAAGTATATGAAATAAAGCATTCTAAATTCATCATTGAATTTTATTGGCCATGTTTATTAGCTCAGCAATGTATCTTTTAATCAATAATAATTCCTTTTGTGTATTTATACATCATAATATTGAATTTCATCGCTCTTTTAATGTTTACCTTTTTATGTAACAAAATCAGCTTTGCAATTCTGTATAATGTGGATACAAGCTCATAAAAATCACTTTATTATTAAATATTTATTGTATTATATTGATTTCTTTGTATATAGCTAAAACTTAATTGTTATTATTTCCAGGTTGCTAAGTTACTAGAGAGTAAGCGTTCCCAAGCAGTAGGCATTCTGATGTCCAGCTTACATGTAGAGATGTCAGACATTGAGGGCGCTGTTTTGAACCTTGACACCTCGGTGCTAGATCTAGAAAACCTTGAAGCTCTCTATGAGATTGTTAGTACAGTATTACTTGTCAATTTTATTATTATTTTGTGTTGTTTAAAAATATTAGGACTATACTTCAGTTTGCTGTTAGGAATCTTGTCTCGTTGTGTTTGTGTCATTGATTTTTTTATTTTTTTAATTGTATTGAGAAAAATAAAGGAAATAAGAAAAAAGGGAAATAAAATAACTATTACATAAATACAAAGAATCATTCCCATCCTAGTAGGATAAAAATAGTACAATAAAAATATTAGTAAATGTATTTAAGAACCAAAGTACTGTTTTTCCTAGTTTGCTTTGTTATGAGTTTAGTTTTGAAAAGCAGGTCCCTGGATGTTATTATAATAATAGGCTATACATTAAAAAAGTGTGGGATGGCTTGTTTTCGAAAGTCTTTTTGTATTCCTCAAGTTTATTTTTACAAAGCAACCCATAATTCATAGTTTTTAGTTCATAATTGCTTACTTACATTAGCCTAAACTAATACAGCTAGCTAAAAAAATATGGAATTATTAATATTTTTGTTTAATTTAACCATCTCATATGTGCTATGTATTTTAAGTACAAAGTTGGGAATAAAAAAAAAAAATTATCTGTATTTTTACAAATTATTATTTTTTTTTAATAATTAAAAAAAATATTTGTCATTGCAGAGACCTCAAGCAGATGAACTACAACTAATTCAGAAACATTGCAAGAAAAAACCTGATGTATCCTTAGATAAACCAGAACAGTAAGTTAAAAGATTATAAAACAAGTTTCCTTTCTTAATTTGTTCTCATCTAATAAAGACTTACCCTTACAATATGGAAGTGATACTCTGGGCCCTGACGGCTGCACAGGTTCAAGGCCATCAGTGGACGAGATGTCAACATTTTTTGTAACCTTTTTATCTATTTTTTCCTTGTGTCTGTGTCTCTACAAAGATGTAAATACCACATTGTGGCTTCAGTGTGGTAAAGTGCCAAAGCATTGTCCACTTGTTTTCAACCTAGTGTCCTATAGGGACCCAAAGCCTCATGGTTCTTTCCATGGCTTAGGGAGTGAACATGACAGGACTTGAGCCTTGTGTTTAGGATTGGAAGGAAATCATTTCAACCACCCAGCTACTGCTTTATGCTTCACATAGAATATTCCCTTAGAATTACATGGCAGTCCATTTACAGTTGTACTACAATGGTGTATTTTCTTTGTGAGAAGATAAGTAAAGTTTATTGCAATATATCCAAAAATATGCCCTCCAAAATAGAGGATAAGCTGATGGTGTTGTTTATATTTAATGTTTTGGTGATCTTTACACATAGAGGGCGCCATGATCCAAAGCTCTTTGATTCAATTATTCTTCTTTTTTTTTGTGTAACTATTTAGATAACTTTATTTGGTTTTTGATTTTTCTTCTCAGATTTTTATATGAACTATCGCAAATTCCATGTTTTGAGGACCGTGTCTACTGCCTTACATTTCAAGAGATATTCAAAGACAGTTTGCAAGATATAGCATCAAGGGTTAGAAATTTAAATGAAATAGCAACGGTATGTTTCATCTTTGTCTTATTTATTTATAAATTCACATCAAACATTAGAATATATTGGTGTTCATCATATTCAAAGAACCAAATAATAATATTCAATTGTTTAACACAAAGCTAACTCTCTTACTATAGACCACCCAAAATTATATTCGCTGTGTCATTATCATTACTGCTGTTATTGTTTTCTATTATTTTTATTGTTTTATTATTATTACTATTGTTATTTTATTTTATATATATTTATATTATCTCTTCAAGCTTACTAATGTTTTTGGTTTTTTTGTGCTTGAATTTACAGGTGCTCTTGAAAAGTTCAGAGATAGAGAACATTTTTGGAATAATTTTGACATTTGGAAATTATATGAATGGAGGTAAATTTAGAACAGTGTGTATTATGTAATTTGCAAATTACACTTCCCTAAGGCATAACTTAGCCAAGAAATACTCATAAGTAGCTTCATGTCCCTTCTTCCCTTACCCCTAGCTAGCTATTTATTAGAACTGTTGCAAGTCTATTTGTGAACTAATAATTATTTTGTACTGTACTGTTGCATAATACACAAATATTTGAAGAAAAAGAATAATAAAAAGGATAATAATAATAATATAGGACTTTATACCATGCCTTTTGCCAAAGGAACACAAGGAACTGGCAATGGATCGATGGATTTATTTGGTATAGAAACCAAGGTTAACCCACGAAAGTCTGAAGAAGACTTATTTCCAATAAGGTACTTGTGATGGTGATTGGGCAGTACACCGGGAGACAATCCCCTACTCTTTTCCGAAGTGTGTACTGCATTCTTTAACATGCACATGGATCACAGATTAAACATCTCATCGGAAAGACAGTGCGCTGTTGTAACTTGCATTTCAGCCGACCACCTGGAATACAAGGAGAGCAGCGATGGGAATTGAATCGGGATCTCCATGGTTCAGCACACACACACAGTGGCTACTGCCAGTTTAGCCGACTGAGCTAAGCTGCAATGTAAATATTTCCCTTGGTCGTTGGATCCATAGCAAACTGGTACAAAATGCAACCTAGTTGTACTTACAGTGCAATGCATCACAGACCAACATGACAGACAAAAGTCTAATAGACAATTGGATACAGCATCCAAACACCTTCCATTAATTTAAATCAGAGTTTATTAATATAATTTTTGCACTATAAGCATTGAATGACAACATTTAAATATAAAGATCATGTTAGCAATATTGATACTTATTCACCTAGAACCAGTCTGTTCATTGCCCTTATCTTCAACTGTAAAAAAAACTAATGATGAAAAACATCATCAGGTTCTAAGAATGATATTGTAATAACGCTGTCTGAGTGGTATCATGAACTTGTATATTTCAGAGTTATTATATCATTATTGATATATTAACTCTGAAATATATCAATAATGATATATTAAATCTGAAATATATCATTATTGATGTATTTCAGAGTTAATATATCATTATTGATATATTTCAGAGTTAATATATCATTATTGAAGCTAACTTTTATAATTTAGAACCGTGAAACCACTTGGATACCACTGATTGAAAGTCTTGAAAACAATCTGTAATAGTGGTTTGGAGTATTGCTTTCAAATTTATTTATTTATTCTTTCTTTTTACTGGATTGCATCTTCAGTAATGTAGTACTGCTTTCCAGTTAAGTAAAAGTACAGTAAAGTAAAAAGTAGTAAAAGTTAAAGTAAACAAAGGAATTAAATAAAAGTCAAAAATGTACAAAGGTAAAAATCCTAACTAAATTAATTACATTTGAATCAATAGAGATGGAATTTTTGAATTCATTAATATTTTTTCGGTTGCAGTTTTTCTAATTTGAGCAGAAAAAAAAATTTTGAATTAATTTTTTTAATTTTTTTTATAGGAAACAGAACCAGAGGACAGGCAGATGGGTTTGGTTTGGAAATATTACCAAAGTTAAAAGATGTTAAAAGCTCAGTAAGTTGGTCCCACTTAAGGCAAATTCATACTTGTCAGTTACAATTAAGTAAAGATATATACAGTTGAACAATTTATTCACATATAGCATCAATCTGAGTGGTTAAGGTTTGCTTGCATTGTACCTTGGATTGCTACCATAGCAGGATGGTTATTTATTTTTATTTATTTATTACCATTTTTACAGAGGGTGACCTATGCAGTTTCTGCAGAAACTGATCATTAAGGGCCGCAATAAAACAAACATACAATAAAACATGTAAAATATTATATATTCAAAAGACAGATAAAAGTTAAGAGGCTAAAGGCCAACTCAGACAGCGTCGGCCGACGCAGCCCGACGGCTTAAGACTGTCCCCGACGATAAATCGGGTCGGGCTGTGTCGGCCGACGCTGTCTGAGTTGGCCTTAACACTATTAACAATGTATTAAAACTTGTTAAAATAAAATATACAAATTTACTATTAATATATTGCTTCAGTTTAAGTTTAAAAGAATATAAATGTTCAGGTTAGGTGGATAGTTATCAAGGATATGTTTGTACCATGTATAATTGTACCATGGAAGGCTGTACTATGGATGGTTATACCATGGAATGTGTACCATTGATGGTTGTACTATGGAATGTTCTACCATGGATGGTTGTACCATGGAATGTTATACCATGGAATGTTGTACTAAGGGTGGTTGTACCATGGAATGTTATACTAAGAGTGGTTGTACTGTGAAATGTTGTACCATGGATGGTTGTACCATGGATAGTTATATCATTGAATATTTTACCATGGATGGTTGTACCATGGATAGTTATATCATTGAATATTTTACCATGGATGGTTGTACCATGGAAGGCTATACAATGGACAGTTGACTAATGTTTTTACTATTATTGGCTGTTATCAAAGATAGTATGTAAGTGGTTGTTACCTCTTATCTCTAATGTTGATTCTATGAATTGTGTGATACTGTGCATATTACAATTTCCTTACATAGCTCCCTCTATTGAAATTTCATTACAAAAAATAAAGCACATGCCACAATATATTATTATATATATATGTGATGTCAATTAAATAAAATAACGAGAAATTACAACAAGATTTATTCTATTATACCGATATTTCAATAACCTTTCCATAGATGCTTCAATCAGCTTGAAATCAAGCATTTATATAGGAAAAAGTCAATGAATCAGCGAAAACTGAATTAGACATTAAAAGCTTACTAGGTCTTAATATAATAATTTTTTGTTTTTTGAGTGTTTTCCAAATTTTACCACAGGAAATATATCTTTAAATAAAAACATCACAGACCATATTTTTCTAATAAGGTATTACAAAATAATAAAAATAGATTAAAACATACATGGAAGCAAATATATGTTTAAATATATATCTTATATTTTGCATTTTGATAAATTGATACAGGTACAGTATTTAATGAATTCCCAATTTTACGAACGTAAAATCAAGGTGATGACGTCATAAAAAGGGAAGTGGGGAAAAAAAAAAAAAATCCGCTCGAGTTGTAATTGTTATTACCATGCATGCAACACAACATACCATACTATACAGGTAATTCTCAAGTGAAGGAGGCCCTCTAACCGGCCTCTTCAAATTCAGTGTTTAGTATGGCTTCACCCATGTACATGCAACAAATGTTACTTCTCTTTTAATCATCGCTTTCAACTTTAAAAGTCAACATAGTGCTTGATTGTTTTTATTGAATGATCAATATATATACTAAACAAGTATCTATGGAGGTTTTGTTGGAGTAAAATCCACAATCTAGGTATTTAAGAAGATAATAAAAAACAAAACTAATTTGTGTAGGGCCTAGAGTGGGATCAGAATCCTTAGAAACTGCCTACTGTAGGCCTAGGCCCCCTCAGACCTAGCTGCGTAGGCCTGTGAGCCTATTCCAGGCCTAGTTTATGCCACTGTAAGTAGTACCAGTGCAAATATATAGGAATTTGGGTCAACCCTGATTTTACGAATACCCACAATTAGGAACGGCTCTGGGCCCATGCCGTACGTAATTGAGGGGTTCTACTATATATGTATTTTCACAAAAATATTAAAGAACAATATTTCCAACTGATGTATACTTTAGATGTTAATGAAGGTGATAGTAACGAGAAGGCTTAACAATATGCGCTGTATAATATATTATTATATTATTAAAAACAATAACAATGAAAAGGAAATTGTTGGTGATAGGAGGATGTTATAGAAACAGTTGGACAACTTAAGTTATAGTTTTTTTTTAACACTTTAAAATGAATTTATATAGCACCAAAAAATTCTCCACATAGTGTAGTTATATATTATACCTGAATATGTATTTATGGATAGCAGTCCTCTTATTAATCTGTACCATTATGTAGCTATTGCTTTGTTGGCCTAACTCCAGCTTGGCTAAGCCTGTTGACAAGCGCATACTGTTTTTAATCAACACCTTCATTTATACAGGTAAAATGAAACCACTTCCATAATGAGTTATTAGGAATAGATACGACAATGAAAATACTTTAAAAAATTGAAATAGTATACAGAAAGGCCTATGCCTGCCCTATATATAACTTTTAAATGTAGAAAATGTACAAATGTCAAATTCAATCTATTTATCTATCAATCTTATGTATTAGGATTTAGAATAGGAAAGGAGAATTTTTATATTTTATTTATATTTAATAATATTTATTTTTATATATTTTTAAAAATAAAGATCATCAAAGAGGGCAAAAGAAAAAAAAACCTTTTATTTTCTTATTTAGCAAAATGTCTTGTGTTTATTTTCATCCAAGCTATGTTAGAATAATCCGTTCAATTTAACTGATGGTCAAAAACATAGTACAATATTTTCTAGTGCTAAATAAAAGAAGACAATTAAGCTACCAACGAATGACAATGTAAGATTGTTAAGTTTCATTTATATTCTTTTATGACCTTCCAAGATGACATTAAGTATTTTAACCTGCTTTTGATTTTTCCCACATGACAATAATGTACAAGTCACGTTCCTTTCAATGTTACTAATCGCTGATAATTTCTTTGTATTCTCGTTTTCTTTCTAGGATGACCAAGCAACATTATTACATTATATCGTTGCCTATTATATAAAGAAGTTTGATGAAGTAAGTGATTTGTTGTTATTTTTTATAAATTTTGTTTGCAAATTTGAGCTCTGGTCATGAGGGATGCACAATTGAAAGAATGCTAGAATGCTATTTTTTGATGATGATAATAATAATAATAATAAATATTATTATTATAATAATAATAAAACTTATATAGCATATGAAAATAATATGGTGAAATACTATGGTGGTGAAAAGGTAGGAAGAAAATATAAAGATGGAAAAAACTTACTTCCACATGTGTTAAAATAACTTGATTAAAAATTGAAAAATAATAATATGAACAAAATGTGGTGAAAAGGAGCTGGAAGTAATATATGGCAGAAAAAAAGTAAAAGAAAATTATTAGATTATAAATGATATAGTAATATGGTGATTGAAGTAGAACCAGTCTTGAACCAGTGTTGACATTTCTGGGGAGGGTGAGAAGGGTACATGGTTCAACTGTTTTCAATATCAGATTTATGAAGTGAGGATTGAGGTAGAAGTTTCCAATTTAAATGGACTGAAATAATGTCACTGAAGTTTTCTAATTAAATACATAGATGTTTTGTAAATAATTAAAGAGGCACAGTGCACTCACTCAAATAAAATTGTTATGGTGACCTCACCATAACAATTGACTGTCTTTATACTGTGGGATAATTATAAAAAAAAGGTAAGTTTGAGGCTCCTCATGGGTGAATGAGGTCCTTTTGAGGCCCCACTAGAGTAAGATCTTACAAAGTTGAGGCTTTACAAGATTGAGACCCTATAAGGATGAGGCTATGCATCATTGAAACCTAGAAGGCTGAGGACCTAAAAGGTTGACCCTTTAAATGTGAAGACCTACAAGTGTGATGACCCACAAGTGTGATTTCTCCACGATGGGGAAACTCTCAAAATATTAAAGCCTTGCTTAATCTTCCCCTAAATTGTACCCTCTCAATTAGGTCCTTCTACTGACCTTATAGATCTGTATCTCGCTCTATTTTTTAGCAATCTCATTATGCCACAAGTTTGCTCCTTTTAAATTCTGTGTAATCTGTAGGAATTTGAACCATTTCGACTGGCACCATTTCCCTCATTTTTAAACTGGGCTGAAATTTACGTGGGCAGAATAATTTCAAAATTCCTCTATCAGCTTATTCAGAATTCAATCAAGGAATTATAAAAATTTAAAAAAAATAGTGCAAAGTAACAGAAGGTGCTGTTTAACACTGATCTCGTACAGAATACCATGTGTGTATTTCAGTATTTCAGTATTTATTAGAACTCACTTTCAGAACATTGGCACACACCTGTAATACAATAATACAATCCAGTAACAATTATACAAAGAACAAAAATTAAAATGAAAAAAACAAAAAAAAAACCAAAACAAAAAACAAACAAAAAACAAAGAAAGATTATTAAAAGACCAGAAAAAATCAGGTAAATTATGAACTGATTGGGTTAAATTTTACATTATATATTGAAATCATTTAAAAAGTTTAAATATAGTTTATATGTGTGAATTTGTATGTTTTGCCAAAATTAGACTTTACTCCAGACTTATTAGATTGACTCGGCTCCAGGCTATTTTAGTATGTCTCCATTATTATTAGGTTGTTGATACTCATTTATTTCGATAAATGCAAACTGTTGCTTCTGAAATTAATGGTATTTTTAGAAATTCACATATGTATGTCCCTATTTCCAGAGATATTATGAAATACTGGCCTATAAAATCCTCTTTGATATCGTTATGAATTTGATTGAAGTCCTTATTGAATTGTAGTTAGTAAAATATAGTAGAATAGTTTGTTATTGCTAGGAATTTGGGCTGGATTTCATGATGACCTGCAGAAGACATAGTGCAACGCTGCCACCTTCTGATAACTGATTTGACCAGTACACCAGGAGACATATCCTCTGCTTTTTTGCAGGGCAGTGTTATTCATGCTTAGAAAAAATGTTATGCCCATGACAATTTTCCTCATGTAATGATACTAAAATGTTATCTGTACATTATATAGCCCAAAAGTGGTTGTCAGGAAGAAAAAAAATCTTTCCTAAAAGTGCCTTCAGGAAGAATGCATGGTGCCTTTGACCACTGATCACACAGTATAGTTAGGAAACAGGAAACGTCAACAAAAAACACTATATCAAAGAATCCTTCCCTAAACAAAAAATATGGAAACAAATTGTGGTAAGGTGCAACATATGTTTGTTTAGGAGAGCAATAACATAAGTGTTTCTTTTTGAAAGACAGTATGCTATCACCAGAATTATACAGGGAGAGCAGCTTGATGAAATAGAATCGGCGATATGCGGATATTACCACAAATTTTAATCAACTGCATTAAATGCCGTTTCCAGTACTGTCACCATCCTGCTAGGCCCGTAGTGAGGTTAACAAAGGAGGGACTGACACACTCACACCGTAGGCTATGAGCCTTGAATACTCAATCATGTTGGATTAATTGTACTTTAATCATTTTTTTTTGCAATGTCTTAAGGCTTTGTCTTTAATATATTGTTTTTTTTTTTCCATAGTAAAGCCTCTGTGGTAACCATCAATCAACCCCATTCAGAGTTAATTTCTTAAAATAAATTTTATTCATGAAAAAAATGTCCTTCAAAGAGGGGATAAGAATAGCACTTTTGTGGTGAATATATATTACGTAATTTTTAAAAGTATTATGAAAATACAGAATATTGATATATAATCTTTTCATTATTATTATTTGATTATATTATGTTTTTTACTATAATTATTACTTGTTTTTAATTACTATTAACTGTTATCATAAAAATTAATATATTCACAGTTACATATAAACAGTGCCATCATATGTCAGGAGTCAAGTTTATCAACATTTAATAGTTGATACTTTTTTCCTTATGTGTATAAGAGTGTCCTCATACCAAGTGTAATTTTGAAGTGACTCATTGGTAATTAGCTATGTTACACTGTGTGTATATATGGAGAGTACCTCATACAGTACAGTATATCTAAAATCAGTTAATGAAACTAATTTAGCTTGTGTGTATATATGAAGAGTACCCTCAGATGTCAAGGATCACATAAAAATAGGTTAATTGATATTTTATTAAAAGTTATTTTATTTTGTGTGTATATATGAATAGCGCCCTCGTATATATCAAGAATCATTAATTGATATGCAATTGATACTGTTTATCCTGTGTGTGTATTTGCATTATCCATATGACTTGAACTTGCTAGGCCTCGGGCTATTGTTTGTTGTACTAATACATGAAGCATGAGGAAATCAAAGGGACTGCTATATCATGCTGTGACATTGTCTCCTCGAGATTAATGACTAGGATATTGCGGTCACATGTCCGTCAGATACCACATGCTACCGTTGAAATTTTCATCCTCTAAGATTAACTCCTCATCCACACATACTAGCTTTTTGCATCACTGACGTTCGCATACTTCAAAGCAGCCTAGCCCCGATCATGTCCACACCCTGTGGTCACATCTCTCACCAAATATGGCCTGGACACCTAAAGAGGACTAATTTACAGACGCATTTCATTTGCAGCTTAAGCCTAGCCCATGAGGCTCGATGTCTCCACAGGGATTTTGTGCTGTAGCAATGGAATTAAAAGACTCATTGCTAGACATCGAGGCTTACTGTTGTTATATCAAGCAATTCCTCTCACAAACACCCACCATAAATATCATCAGTTAGCCTGTCGCTAAAAACAGATGAAAAGTTGGAACATCAAAGGGGAGTTAATCCCATTATTTCCTGTTTTCTCGCAAGACAAGGCAGTTAGTTTGCAGAATCAGGTTAACTAATATACACGTTGGAAGGCTTCTGTCATTCTTTTGCCAATATTTCATCCAACAGACGATACATTTCAACAATTCTATAAACCGGGCTCTCAAGATGTTTTTGCTACATCTCAACACAGTTGCTTTTAATTACCTCGTTAACTATTTTTATATCAATTTCACTGTTGCAAACTTTCACTTGATAAGGTCAAAGTTTAATTAAATTACTTAGAGTAATCTAGAAATATATACAAAGCCTCTTAATTTCAAGAGATATGTTTCTAAATTATAAGTAGGGGAAGTTGTGGATTAGTGATTGAGTGCTTTCCTTTATTTTTCTGGGGTTTAGGCTCAATTCATGTAAATTCCAGGATTCATTAACAACTCTATTACTGACTCCCTTCATAGTGTATATTCAGTGACTAAATATACATATTATATTTGACCACTCATTCACTTCTAAATTTTAGCCTTTATATGTTGGGTTTGTTCATTCATGAATCTTTATATATATAATATTTAGGTAATCTATTTTCATATAGAGAATGGTTAGATATAATAATAATAATAATAATAATAATAATAATAATAATAATAATAATAATAATAATAATAAAAAAATAAATAAAAATAATAAAATAATAATAATTTAGATAATTTACTTTTAATTTATGTTTTCTATTTGTCATTTAATTAATACCTGGAGAGTTCCATGACTGTGGAGTTCTTTTAAATTTTCAGAAGACAAATGATATAATTTTTTCATTTTATTTTTTGATTTGAAGTCCCGTACTGAAAAGAATTTAGAATTTACAAGCTAAAAGGAATATATTATGTATACAAATGATATAATAAAATGTATATATTCCATTTTTTAAAGGCCTGTAAACTGAAAAGAACTGAGAAGTTTAGAAACTAAAAAGAATATATTTGTATATAATTGATTAGTACCTTCAAATTAAAGATGAATTTTATTGGCTAAACTGGATTTGACAGATGAGGTTGTTGGTATCCCCAAAGCTACCCTTCAGGCAACTTTTATAACTAATGGGTGGAAATGTATGAAATAATCAACAAATTTGAACAGTGGAAAATAAAATACTCTGTTTTTCCAAGCTGAGTCAAATGTCAACAATATGCAATATACCCTGTGATTTAAGGGAGTTTTTTATGGTGAATTTATGTAGTTTTCTCTGAGGGCGTGTGTTTGCCTCATCTTCTACACATT